CAGGTAGAATTAGAGATAGAAAAGGATACGGAAATAAAGGATAAGGAAAGGGAACCCCCGACCGCAAAGGATAAAGTAATCTGTAATAAAATGGAATGTCTTGTAAAAGACGGACTTCGACCAAGGCGATATCCGACTCAGGCAACTCGGGTTACCTTTACTGACTAGGTGGTCAGCGGGCTAAGGTGTATATCGCCCTGCCGGAGCCACTACAGTAGCTCACGGCGCTAGATCCTAGATCTAATCTAATGTCAGCAAAATTAATGCCAACTAATTAACTAAATAAAATTAAATAATTAAAAATTAAAACTGTGCAATTATTCACACGTCTGTCCCCCAACCCGGACTACTTGTCATATCCAATTATTTTCCTTTCACTTCACCCCCCTGTAGAGCCCTGTATTGCACTACATGAGGTGGACTCCGGAATTTGTAGAGGGCGGGGAGTGCATAGGTTAGTGGTCTAAATTTCTATGCAATCCCTCTCCTTCAGCGCAACTGCCTCGTATTCTGTGCAAACACTTGGCCACCTTGACACCCCACCCCAATCAACGTATGAACCCACCCGACTGCGCAAACACCCCTGAAACAACATAAAACATGTCTATCCAACCCAAGGAGCTCCTCGCCAGCGACGTTCTGCACTACCATTCTCATTGCTTCAATTATGGACAGTTTCCAGAAATGAGAAATCAACGTTTTTACTAATCAGACACACTTTTTTGGCAATTCCTGAGCTCGGCAAGAGACAAAAAATGGGAAATGGGGTCAATTCTGGACAGGGAGCTGCGCACTTTTATCGATAGTGAGACAATCCGACGAGTCCTAAGGCCGCCATTCAGTTCTCTCATCTTCAACACACCCTAAGGGTGTGTTGAAGATGAGAGAACTGAAAGGGGCAAATATCGGCGGGCAAGGCTTGCCCGCCGATATTTGCCCCTTTCTCTGAGATGGCGCCATGACGCAATTGGAATGTCATCCAAAACGTCCCCGTCCGTTGAGTCAATCAGCCTTTGCGAAAACACTTTCTTCTCCTGGACAACGGCTTTCTTCGCTCCCTTCACAGGTCATACCCTCAATAGGTATCGGAGTGCTCTGTTCAATACTGTTGTCAGAATTGCAGGCACTCTCAAGTCTTTGCTTAGAGGTCCCTTTTCCTGATCTTGCTTGAAGACGCTGCGCACCAGCCATGGATGCATTGACTTTACGCCACATTGTGACGTCTTTGCAAGCTTGGGTGGAGAGACTTGCCTATCAGGCAACTTGTTCACTTTGAACTCACTGTTCAGCAGTAGTAGTATCTCTGCTAATGCAATACAGGCCGAACCATAGCCGTCTGATAATTGTCGAATTCTGTCTAGCAAGGCGCGTTAATCATTTCTAATCTCTCCTATATGAGAATCACGAAAAGAGCAAGTACTTCGCGTGTTAAAACTACTACATAAACGTCCTTTGAGGTTATCAGTGTCTTGACTCGTCGCAATTCGGCCAAGAAACCGAAATTCATTGGCCATAATCCAGACTCATAAAATGACTTTCCGGCAATCTCTCGAGTCAACGCGCGATAACCCGCCACTGCCAGCTTTTTCATGAAAGCAGAGTTAGTCCACGTCATTTCGCTGATCATCAGAAGCTCATACCTTGTAGACCGAACGGCTTTTTGAAATATTCTATTCATAGACTGGTCACACGGCTGCAACAAATGAGACTGGTCACACGGCCGCAACAAATGAGTGGTACGAGCTGGCAACTAGACCACCAAAACTCGAAGCTTCTCGCATTCTTCGAGCCATATGTCTCCCTGCCTGAAACTGTGTCCGTCTTAGAGGAGAAGAACATACTCATGTGGTGGTACTGTTTTTTGCGCATGTCGATTGATATGATGAATAACTTTGACAATTACGTCTTTGTCGATTGAGACGTGTGGTGCAGCAACAAGCCCTGCGTCATCAGGAAACTAGTTTTCGTTACACAACCAGTGTACTACACCATTTGCATTAGTGAAGTCCTCAGTATCAAGAGGCTTAAGCAATGATTTCATTACTTTCTTACCAGAGGCTCTCGAAAGGGCTACGTTGCCGCATGTTGCCACACCACGTCCCGCCGTCAAGTGCTTACCGGGGTCTCTAATGCTCAATCGAGTCCCGCCCTGCTTGCTGCTGGACGAGGTGAAGTACTTCTGTTTACGACCGTATTCACAGCCAACAACGATTTCATCCCAGTTCCATATTTTTGGAGGGTCTCTAAGGACTTCTAGGAATTATTCTTGAAGTTTCAAAATAAATTCCTTCAGACTGCCCATATGCGATGAATTATCTGCAGCGAGCCTTGGTAAGGACACATTCTGGGACGCTCTGTAGGCCGATTCTCTATGTCGTGCTCTGAAGGGGCGTATGGCATCGGAGGATGAGACGCAGTTGGAGAATGAGTTTTTCCTGCCTCCCGCTATCTTTCTTTGAAGGCTTTCCATTAGACGAGCTCACGGCAAATACTTTTTCGGCTGCTTCGAGAGTCTTGTCCACGACGAGACTCTGTTTAGCACTTGTGAAAACTGTGCCACGGCCTGCGAAGTGCTTTTCCGGATCGAGCAGTTTTGCGAGCCGTTGCATGTCCTCCTCTATGGTCGCCTTTCGAATATTAGACACTGTCGTGCGAGTGACACCATTTCGAGTTGATACTTCCATTGGACAGATGCCGCGCCGCAGACGCGGTAATGCGTTTACCGTCTGATACGCTCCGATTTTCTGTTAGCAAGCCTTTTGTTATGTGCGATAGTTTGAGCGCGAATCAAGCGCAGCACTTTCGGGCCTCCGTGTAGTATAATCCCTAACTGGATTTAGATGAGATCAGCTACTGTAGGGCCAGAGCTCTATAGTACGACAGCACGCGCACACACGCGTAACAGATATGTACTGTCAGCTCCAATGGCTGACAGCGTTACAGTACGGGACGGCCCGCACTGACTACAGTGGCATTACAGTAAAGTACGTACTGTACTGTAGTATGATAGAATTAACTTGTACATTAAATATGCGAGCGACCGACGGCGGTGAGCCCTAGAAGAAAATATTAAATTTTTTTGAGTGCACCTACAGTGCAATTTGAGATTTTTAGCATATTTGAGTGCACTGTGAACGCGAATTGTTGCCGCTGAGGGCCACACAATTCCTATTGGTGGCACTTGGAGTGCACCGAGAGGGCGGCATGAGTGTATGATAATTCTGCACTCATACCGCCCGCCGTAAATGCTATGTAATCTGGAGTGCGAGGTGAGTGCACTGTGCATTGCATGCTGCATCGCATTGCGTAGTGCACTCACTTTGCACGCAACGTGCGTCTCATTCCATAGTTTAGATGGAGGTTGGAGGCGAGGGGGTGGAATTGGGAGCTCGGCGGTCAACTTGGTATTTGTTGAGACGAGAAGATTGTGGGCAAGTCACGTGCAGCAAAGCAATACCACTTTTCTGCTTGCGCTTCTTGCGCTGGTTGATGAGCTGCGTAGAGGGCCAGAGGTCAGAGGAAGCGACGTCGTTCCTAAGCTTAAAGGTCAGGCTCCTGTAGACAAATCAAGCCAAGACGCAAATAAGACCTTGGCACCCACACAAATGAAAGGTGTATCTAAAGCGAAAATGCCAAATCCTGCTGTCAAGCCTGTGTTGAAGAGGCAAGCCGATGCTCAGCAGACATTGCGCCGCGTTCCCATCGAGGGAACAAGCGGAGGGATGTCGTACACCGTCGATAACGTCATGATAATTGTAAGGGAAGGCACATCGAAGCCAGTCCGTCGCTTTACGTTTTCTACAGTTGACGCAAAGATCAGGCCAGATGGGGAATCGACTCTGGAGATTTTTGAAGGTCGCGATGGTTCCAAGAGTTCTTTTGCAGAGCTTTCCTGAAAGAAAAATCGCGTCAGAATCAAAAAGGTGGTGAACAAACCATTCGTGTTTTCGGTCACGGTTTTGGGTCCGTCTGGGCAGGAAAAAGGTAGCGATGTGGCAAAATACTTCCTTCATCCATCTACAAAAACCTACTTTTGATGTGTTTTATGACGCATGTATGATGTACATCGTGGATGTAGTGAAAGAGAAACCCCGGCCGAAGACGGTAATGTTTCAACCATATGATTGTCATTCCTAATGATAACGACCAAGTATCTCCGCCCACAGGCACCAAAACGGTCGCCGGCGTTCGTCCGTCAGGTGCTCTCAGTGATTATACTTCTCGCCTCATGTCATCGAGGCCGTTCCAGGATATGAGAGGTATGGCCAAAAGCTTCTCCAAGCTCTTCCCAGAGGAGATCCAGGACGTCGCAGCGCAGGTTGACGAATATACGAGGGGCATCATGGCGCAGGGAGGTACGCTTTTCGAGGAGCTTGGTTTTTATTATGTTGGTCCCATTGATGGACACAAACTTGATACCCTTGTTCCCGTACTCGAGAACGTCCGCGACATGCCTGGCAACAAACCCGTCTTGATCCATGTCAAGACTGAAAAGGGCAAGGGATACCCCCCCGCGGAGGCTTCCCTAGACAAATACCACGGTGTCGCCCGTTTTGACGTCGGCACCGGCAAGCAGCATAAGAGTGTCTCCCAGACCCCCAGCTATACCTCCGTCTTTTCAAAAGCATTGATTGCTGAGGCCGAACATGATCGCAAGGTTGTCGCCATTACAGCGGCCATGCCCGGAGGCACTGGTTTAAATATTTTCGGGGAACGTTTTCCGAAGCGGTGCCACGATGTCGGCATTGCTGAGCAACACGCAGTGACGATGGCTGGAGGCATGGAATGCGAGGGATACAAGCCGTTCTGTTGCATCTACTCAACCTTCCTGCAACGAGGTTACGATCAACTCATTCACGACGTTTCCATTCAAAAGTTGCCTGTATGATTCATTCTGGACCGCGCGGGACTCGTCGGAAACGAAGGAACAACGCATCATGGCTCATTTGATCTCGCCTACATTGGTTGCATTCCTAACATGATAATCATGGCCCCCAGCGATGAGTGAGCTACAAAATATGGTCGCCACATCATTGGCAATTAACGATAGCCCCTCTGTCGTGCGCTACCCTCGTGGAGTTGGGGTGGGTCTTGACGTTATTAATCAGAAGCTTGGTGGCAAGTATGATGTGATGCCAGAGAGAGGTCATGCGATTGCGATTGGCAAGGGTTGCATCATTAGCAACAAAGCTCCAAGCCCGAAGGAGGGTTCAGTCGCCATTCTCAGTCTAGAAACCAGGCTCTTGGAGAGCGTGAAAGCAGCCGAAGCTTTGGAGGCGAACACCATCCCTGTCACGGTCGCTGACGCTAGGTTTATGAAGCCTTTAGATCGAGATCTGATTCGCAAGCTTGTCAATGACCATGAAATTATCATCACTGTGGAGGAAGGTTCGATCGGTGGGTTCGGAGACCATGTGCTATACTTTGCTGTGCTCAAGGGTATGTTGGACGATGGAAAGGTCAAGTTCCGCCCCATGGTTCTACCAGATCGATACATTGATCATGGCAGCCAAGGTGAGCAGTACGAAGAAGCTGGACTGAGTGCATCCCACATTGAGGCGACAGCAATGAGACTGGTAGGAAGGTCTGCTACAGTGTTGACAAGTGCACGTGCCCTTGATCTTAACCAGATGCAAAAGTGAAGGATGCACGCAATTGCTTATGGCAATGAAGCGATAGGATTAGAATTCTCCCTTGGCTTTCGATGCTCGTCATTGACGGATGTCGTCCAGATATACACCTCTGTAGCCCTTTTTCCGAACCACGGCCAGTCGTCGCAAGAGACGGCGATAACATTTCTGCCGTAGCAGCCGCGACGATGTATCAATGTAATAAAAT